TAGAATCTTTAAATTTTGATCTCTTATATTGATGATTTATCTATAGCATTTGAAGCATGGAATTATTTGCATGATAGGTTTTAATTATATAAAACTTGCATACAATCTAAATAATTATTTGGTTACATTGTGTCTTAAAATCATAAGAACCCAAAGTTAAAATATCAAAATTGTTTAAACTATTTCTATTTTATTAAGCAATGCAAGATATCACAAGTTTTGTATACAAAAACCAAGCATGCAATGCATTCAGCATTTTCTTACTAAAAATCAATTGCATTTTCTTTTAATGCCACTAACATAAAGCTCCAATGGATCAATTTCAAGGCCATAAAATTTTGATTAAAGCTTTGGGGCCATCATGCCTTTGTTCTTTCTCATTTATAACCATTTGCCACATGAAAGGTGTACTTACATCAAGTTGCAACTTAAAAGGTATTCATTCTCATTCATCAATGAAGTTGCAAAAACTGGTTTGTTTTTAGTCGATATCAATTATAGTTTATAGCTCTTTTTTCTAATTGCTTGTGTTATTGATAAATTCTCATGTTTCTTTTATTATTTAATCGAATAATGAATTCCAATATGAGCATTAAAATGACTAATAATAGTTCTATATCAGATGAGACAGAGCCTTTACAGACATATGTTACAAATTTTGATAAATTAAAAGGGATATGGGCAAAGCATAGTGTAGAATTGTAATGTCATGTTTGCAAAGAAAAGTTCAAGAAAACATATTCTAGAATCAGAGCTTAGGCAAACAAACATTCATTTAGAATCAAAGACTTTGACCCCAAAAAGAGAAAAATGCCCAGCCTAATTGGCAAACTACACATCATTTTCATGAAAAAAATTGCTAGCATGTTTTATTCGACAATCATTTTATTTCAAATGGCAAGGAATCTATTATTTTAGTGACATCTCATATGCAACCAATAACACACTTGCTTGACTTTCCTCCTAATTATAAACTTTGATGACAGGAGCAAATATTGAAAGAATGTTGAAGCTCATAAAAGAGATTTGGAATAAGAAATGAGATAATTATCTACGATAGCTGGACTGATGCACAAAAAAACCAATTATTAATTTCATAGGCATCAAAGAATATAATTAATAAAGGTCATCAACTCTGAATGAGCATATAAAAATAAGTTCTAAAAAATCAATAAAATCAAATAACTTATGATGAAGGGGGGTTCAAATAAAACGGTTCAAGTAATCACCGATATTGCATTTATATGCTGAGCTACTGAAAATAAATTTAAACCCAATTTTCACATATTAAACTGCATTGAAAAATATTTATGCTCTGAAGAATATACAAGTTAATGAAATCGCTTATAAAGAATGTAATTAGATAAGATAGATGGAGAATACTGAGTGAAAATAATACTGATAAGCCAAATTGTGAAAAATTAAAAATCTTGAATGATCTAAATAAAAAATATATCATAGTACTTCTTATACAAAGCCATTATAATGATATATTGAGAGTAATTGATATAAATATAGGCCTTACATACAACTTGTCCATAATATGTAGGTATCTATGAAAAAGAAAGTGAAAGTGATTATAGACATGAGAGAGAGAAAAATAATAAAGACTCCGCCTTATATAAGGTCATATATGACTTTATTCTACAAAGATGAAACAAAAATAAATAAAATTCATTGTTTGGCTCACTCCTTCAATTCAAGGAAATATTTTATATTATCATTATTCTTTACTTACCCCACTTCATATAGTAATCTAACTTATTAAATGCATTCTTCTATTGGATATTACTTACATTTTTGGCTAAGTAAAGCTCCAAAACATATGAATCCGTATAAAAATATAAATATATCAAATAAAATAAGCAAATGCCCAAAGAATTTTTTTCAAATATTTAAATTAGGTCATCATTTAATTCAATGCTTATCACATTCTCTAAATTCAACAGTACTTTTATTGATTAAGACTCCATGGTTTTTCAAGGCACTATGGATGGAAAATTTTGATAGATAATTTATGAAGCTAATCCCCACAATTGCAAAATTTGATTTTTAAATCGTTCGATCAAGCATGTTCGTCTTATTCTTATGAACTAAAATGGAGTAAATTCTTTTTTATCAATTCACTTAAAGGAAATAATATCACTCTTCAACAAGGTGATAATTTAATATTAGTGAAAACTAAACTTTTCTTTAATCTAGAAGCCTAGAATGTGCTCAAGGGGGAGACTAAGTAGTGGGATATTAATGGAGTCATACTTAGCAACAATAAATGATATTAGAATACTTGAAATTGTTAATCTTTCCCTTGATGAGCCATCTTTAAAAAATCAAGCTTTCGTAATTGTGTGAATGTATTATTAAAAAGCGCACATATGCTAATGCAAATCGCAACCATAGCATTAAATGTGATAGCATGTCTTGTTTAATTATTTTAAAGATAGCAATTCACATTTTTGGATATTTTTTTTATATTTGAAAGTAATGTTGATATTGGCAATATATGTGACAACTAAAAAAGATTGATGAATATTCGTGTAATAAAGAATTTCTTCTACTATTAATCACACTTACTTTTCTTTTATCATTATAAATTTTTTGTGTGATATTATACTTCAATGTAACACTTCTAGTAAAAATTATAGGATTTATATATTTTATATTAAAAGATTATGAAATATAACCATACTCATGGTGTCATGTACTACTTTTTGTAGTTACGTCATATCGTCGTGTCAGTATAAAGTCATGTTAATGCATCATAGCAATAAATTGACACATCTTTTCGAAATAATAAAAAAATTGAAGAGATTTAAAATCATAAAGTAGAAGCTGATCATAATCTTCGAAAAAGACTAATATATGACTTTATCATGAGCAATAACCATTGCTACTAGGAAGACATATCCAACAAACATACCAAAAGTGATATATGATAACTTGGGGCCTAGGTTTCACTCATACAAACTTTGAATGAGATATAGGAACACACAACAACAACGACAACAACAAACCTTTATCCCACTAAGTGAGTTTGGCAAAGAGAGACATGAACACACACTGACCAGAATTAGCTATTTTCCAAATTTTGATTTAGGCAAAAATTACTCTTTTTTAATGCAAAACCAAAAAACACATCTAATAATTTCCAATGATATTATACAATTTATCAAAATATGAAATTTCACAAGAAATATAAAAGCAAATATTAAGTTCCACATCAACTAAAATCTCATTCACTAAAAGTAGCATTGAACAACCCATTGATCAAGCCTGTGCGATAAACTTATCTCCACACAAACCTTATAGGCCAATTAAGCAGAAAAAAAAATACAACATATAAGAAGACAAGCAGCAAGATCAGAAACAAAATGCTTGATAGCATTGCAATGCAACTTCAACAAAATAGGTATGTGCAATAGAAGTTCTAAATAAAGTTGGTTATGGATTCAAGAGTTAAAATGAAAGCCTAAGAATGTACAAGGCTCAATCAAGCGGATGCTCGTTCAAGGCAGAGAATGGTTGCATCAGAGCAACCAAAGGCTCTCGTGTCGTCATACAAAGAGTCAGGAAAAAGGGGTTGTACTCTCTTATCGGAAGAACCGTGATTGCTAAGTCCATGTATTGTTTGGACTTCGCAAACTCAAGCAAGGGTTGAGGACCCCTCAGAGGCCAGGTGGAGGAAATCTTTACTTCGAAGCTTCGCAATTGAGGGTCAAGGTGGAGAATTGTTATTTTGACCCTCAATTCTTGAACTAAGGTAAAATGACACTTTTGTAATGTGGTACCGCTCACCTACCACATCTCACCTACCGCTCACCTACCTCCCACCTACCACTCTCTTGTTTCTATAAATAGAGAGGGTGTGAGGCTTAGGAGTGCAAAGAGAAGAGATCTTAAGCTACCACAAAGGAGGAGAGAATAGTTAAAAAGCTAGAGAGAATGGGAGCATCTTGAGGTCTTGTATCAAAGAGTCGCTTGAGAGGGAGGCCATATAAGGAAGATGAGGAATCATCTCTGTGTATAAGTTATGTATTCTCCATTTCTTTTGCCTTGTGAACTATTTGATTGATTCCCTCCCGTGGACGTAGATCCAGTTGGATCGAACCACGTAAACGATCTGTGTTTGTTTGTGTTCTTTGCGTCTCATTTTTATGCCAGGAAGTACATATCTCACAACACCCTAAAATTCTAATACCCTCTCATAACTATCGAACATAGCCTACCTAAAGCATTGCCTGATGTCCTCCACCAATAATTCCCTTCCACAACATCCTCTTGGACACCACCAATAGAACCCTAAAACTCAACCCTAATTGTCAGTCCACTAATACGATACATCCACCATAACAACATAACCCACCACCAAACAAGAGTGTGCTTTCTCCCCGGGATTCTGCCAGCACCAACCCGCCAAAGTTGTTCAAATAATATGCAAAAAATATGTTAAACGTCTCAGATTACTCCATGAAAAAAGATGGAATAATGAGGATTCATAACATCAACCTCAAATAGGCATTTTAATGACCCTTCAGAAAAAAAAAAAGGAATTTTAATGCTAATGATTATGATCATGATGATGATGGGAGCTCAGCATTTTCTAAACATGTATTCCATCAAATCATCTCACCAACTAAAATTTTCCACCATGTATTCCAAAGCGTTGAAAGCTAAAACCACAAGATCGAACTCATACATCACTGCAAAAGCTTCCCCTAAACTCAAAATACATAATTCCTGAAGCCCTAAAAAGACCGGATAGCAAATTCGACCAAACGAGAGACATATTCACAATCCTCAATAGAGTATCAAGACAAATTTCACCATAAACCCACCAGAAATTCATATCCCATATATAAATATTAAACCCGTCTCCCGCAGAACACGGATCCTTAACCCTAACCACACAAAGCAGGAAGAAAAAAGGTTCGGAGTAGCACGCAACAATGATAAAAGCTTGCAAAATTACATATCGAGATAGATGGCAGGGGAAAGAATACCTGACGGCCGCCAGTCGCGGTGAAATCTTCGTAGATGTCGGAGGCGGCGAGCAAGAGAAAGCAAGAGGTTGGGAGGCATGGAGAGATACAGGGCTGATTGGCATAAATAGCATGAGTTTCTGCGCGCCGAACCAGTGCTTTCCGGCCCAGCTTGGCTGAACCGGCTTTGATCTTTCTCTTAACCCTCTCTTTGTATTTTTGTTTTTCACATCATCAAAAAATTTCTAAAAATTCTCCTACATTTAAGGAACCACTAGATGACTTTTTTTTTTTTTTTTTTTTTTTTTTGGTAAAATGACGGTCATGACTAATTTTATTCATTAAAATAATTGTAAGACAACAAAATTACAGCAAACTGACAGAGCGAAATACAAAAATAAGAGAGATATTTAAAATCAAAAAGTAGTCTGGCTACGCTCACGAACAATTGCAAGATTATTCAGGTCAGAATCTAAAAATTGCGGAAAAAATTTATCTAAAATAAAATTGAAATCATCTTCTACTTGTAAAATTAAGAAAAAAAAACATAATAAGAAAGAAGAAGAAACTAACAAAAACAAAGAAAGAATTTGAAATCAAAACAAATATTGTTGAAAAATGACAAATAAGCATTTAAATTTAAATATTCATAGAATTTTGATATATTGTTAAAATTCATCATGGCTCAACCAAATCAAACTCATGAGAAAAAATTAAGTATAAATATGATCTACACCATAAAAATATCTAAGAAATATATAAGAATCAACCACATATTGTAAGAGAAGAGTTGGTACCATCAAACCCACTGAAAAACATCTCAAAGAACCAGCCCAGCCCGACCAATAAGAAGCAAAGTAAAACAAAACGAGCAAATAAATAAAATAAAAACTAATAAATCCTCCCAACCAATAACATTGAGCAGATTTCTTTCAGGCCATCATATCACAATAAAATGTCACTAGAAAAAGTTTATGTTAAATATGGAATAAAACCAAATTGAAATAAAAAAAACAAAACAAAACGAAATAAATAAATTGCTAATCAAAGAAATAGACAAAGAATACCTGCAAAAATATTAAGTATTTATCCATGAACTAATTAATATAAAAATATTAAAAAAAAAAGGTAAAGTTTAATCTAATGTTCGAAAGCATCTGAGTGTGGCAAAATCAAACTTGCAATAAATAAGTAAAAAACTTAAAAATATGAAAGAATAGAAAAAATAAGTGGCAAACCCGAAGACTATAACAAATTCTAATAGATAAGATGAAATAAAGTAACAAAACAAAATAAACAAATAAAATGAATGGAAAATAACAAATCCACCCGATCAAGAGCATCAATCAAAGCTCTACCAAACAAACTGATCACAAATTAAAAATAAAAAGAAAAATAATATGCAAATAATTAATAATAATAATAATCTAAAACTGTCCAATAGAATCAGATGTACAAATTTTAGACTTTTGCTTCATGCTCTTAGTGATGATCAACCAATGAATATAATGAATATTAAAATCATTTGAAGTATGATGATTTCTAAAAAATGTGGAATTTCTCTCCTACTTGATCGCATAAACAGTTACTTGCATAGCCAAAAAATGAATGTGCTTTCAAATTTGATAGGATGAACTTTCAGAGTGATAGATAACTTAAAAAATATTACCATGAGTTACAAAAAAATTTATTAACAGACAAAAACTTTTAAGAAATATGTGAAAATAAGAACAATAGAAAAAAAATATATGATCGTAAATTTCTATGTTATTTATATATAAAACACAAGTAAAATTAACATATGCATCTCTTCGCATAAGAATAACACATATTTTGCTTCATTTGATAATAAATTTTCATATACGAAGAGCATATTTTAAAGGAAAGCATTTATACCAAACAAACTTAAACCAATTGCAAGGAAAAAGAAAAGAGAAATAAAGAAAAATATAAATATCATTATAAGAATAATTATAATAAAAAAATAAGATCATTAGCAACAAGAAACTTGTGATTAGCATCAATAAAAAATTTAGGCGCATTATGATTTGGAAAAAATTTTCAATAATTATTATAAATAATATATTTAAAAAATAAAGATAAAACTTAAATGTCATAAAAATAGAGCCACCAATTTTTTCTACAAGAGAAACCCCTCAAACGAATGATTGAAATAAAATAACGGATGACAATCATTAGTTACTTGAAACTTAAAGCATTTATGACTTTATCCCATTTTTGATAAGTTACTATAAATTAGGATAAAACATAGAATTAAACATACGTCGTAGCTAACCATAATGATTAGAAAGCTAATCTCTCAAATAACATTGAGAGTTGTAATGTTTTCAAATAACTTTGGTTTTATATATCATATTTATTGAATCAAGATAAGCAACATCTAAACCACCAAGTTGCTTGGGCAAAGTAGTTTTATTCCAATCAATGGTGTGAAGCTTAGTGTTATTATTAATATTAAAAAAATATATTCTTCATCCAGTATTTAGATAATAAGGTTGAACGAGACCAATAATTTAAATAACTCAAAAGTAAATTGAATAAGTTTAATTCTATCAACAATATATAATAAATTTTTCTTCGGACCAACAAGCAAAAAATGAATTTTATTAATAAGTTTATGAAAAATATAAATAACTTCAAATAGTAAATTTAATACGTTGAAATTTAACAACAGCAGATTGATGACTATAGCCTGTAATGGAAGAGGTCGAATCGACTCCCCCTGGGAACGATTAATCCCAGAATGAGGTGTCAAATATGCTCTGTGTTTCTCGAGACTGGGGTGTAGGTTGCAATGGACCGTATGTTTTCTTAGAAATATGGTTGGACACATATGCAATCATACTCATTTGACAACTTGTCAGTTGTTGCTTTTGAATCTTTTGTCACTCAGCGGAGGCGTTTTCCATGTGAGCTTGTAAAGCAGCCTATGTGTGGAGCCTTGAAGAGTTCAGCTTCTTGATTTGGTTAAAAAGGAACTCCAGTACAATGAAGGGCGTCGAGGAAGTGATATTTGCAGTGAAGATTGCTCCCATTATAGGAGTGATTCTCGTAGACTTGTGCTCTGAATGAAATATGAGATGACATCCCCATCACAGTTGTGTTTTGTGTCTGAATAAGATGCGAGAAGACAGGCCCACTACAATTAGTCTGGGACATTGACGTGAAAGACCTTTTGAGATTGCAGTGAAGGTTGCCCCCCATATTGAATAATGCTTTGGAGATGATCTTCAAGATGCAAAAAAGATTCATTTGTCAATTGGATGATCTACATAATCGGGAAATGAAGTAGGGATTCAACGTCTCAGTGCTGAAGACAACATCGAATGGTGATTCGTTTCCCATAGACGATTGATGCGTGCTAGAAAATTCGTGGCGGTAGAGTAATGGATTATCGTCTTAGCGTTGCACGAGAATTCAGCACACACTCAGATAAAAATGAATCGAGCTGTGATCACACCAGAAGTTTTTACGTGGAAAACCCGTAAAAAAGGAAAAACCACGGGGTCTGCCACAGTTGTAAAAATTCACTATAAGTTGATGATTACAAATGCCCATTGTCCCACAGGCGGGAAATAGTTACTAGTTTTCCACGTTACAGCGTTGACTGATGACGTCTAGTAAGCGGTGGCTAACAACAGTCGATGACGGTCGGCGGTAGTTGATAGAGGTCGGCGGTGATCGGCGGAGTTCAACGGTGGCCGGCGGTGGTCAACAGAGGTTGGCGGTCGTTGTTGACGGTCAGTGGTGGCTGACCCGGACGGTGGTGGTCGACGGAGGTCAGCGGTGACTGACGACGATCAACAGTGTCAGGCGGCGGTTGTCGACGGTCAGTGGTAGTTGACAGCGATCGACGATGGCGAGGATGATCTGAACTTGAGCTCCTTCTCAAAGCCTCAAGTTCTCTCTTAAGCCTCCTCTCCTTTTCATGTGAGAGTTTTGGCAAGGGGTGATGCTCTATTTATAGTATTTTGAGTGCAATTAATGCAAGAATATGAAATATTTTGATCGAACGGTCCGGAGAGCTTCTCTTGATCAGATGACGTTTGATGGGCATTTGAGTGTCTTAACGATGTCGGAATTAAGCAATCTTGGGCTCGTTGGATTCAGGGTTCGTCGGATTCATCTTTTCGAGACGCTCGATTTGACTATAAACTCGCTAGATTCAACATCCGTTTAATCTATTAAATGCCTCCGGAAATCCTTCAGTAGTGATTTAATGACTTGATTCGGGCTTGATTTGACTCGTATTGGACTAACTTTCATATCATTAGGTCTGTCTCATCGAGCGGATCAATTTGACTATAATTTTGCTGAAATCGGAGCTCCGGATGACTCTTAATCAAAGTTTGAATATCTCTTGTTCAAAAAATTACATCGAGATTTGTGTTGGCCAATGAAAATTTGTTGGTGGTGTATCAGATATATTTTAAGAAAATAAATAAATATTTTGAATGCATGTTAACTAAAAAATACAAGTTTATTTAGTAACAATTTAAATTACTTATTTCATATAATTGTGGCTGCATCTTATTTAGATTAAAAAATATATCATCTCGCATCAATCATAATTGACAAATGCTTATTCATGTGAAACCCGCAACCGTGCGATCCTGAAAATACACGGCAGTTAGCAGCATCATATAAAGAAATTGATGATGTCAGAAAAAAGGACTATTAAATAAAATAAAACGATAATCATTAATCGGAATTAAATGAGAAAATTAGAATTATTATATTAAATTTACATAATTTATGTATTTAATACAAGCGCATGGTTATATATGAACGTAATTATGAAGAAAAATAAGAAGTTGAAAGAAAAAATATAAGCTGGGAATAAATAAATAAACTAAATTAAATTTTTAACAATTAATGCTATAATATTTAATTATTTTTAAGATTTTGATGACGAGGCGATCATTTAAATATTTTATAAAATTAAATTGGAAGCATACTTTGAATATATCATGCGTTGACTCGTAACAGTTTAAAATATACATAATAAAAGCACATTTACATGCATACCACATAAGTTTTATGTATTTACACATCTAACACCTAAAAATACTTATTCAAACTTATGTCGCTTGAATATGTAATATTGCATAAAAAAAAATCATTACACTATTTTTTAAAAAATGAA